CTGGGTTCTAGTCCCAGTAAGGGCGCTGGATTCTGTCCCAGTTGCTCCTCTTCCAGTTCAGCTCTCTGCTGTGACCTGGGAGTGCAGTGGAGGATGGCCCAAATGCTTGGGCCCTGCACATGCATGGAGACCAGGAGGAAGCACCTGGCTCCTGGCTTGGGAATGGTGCAGCACGCCGGCTGTAGTGGCTGCTTGGGTAGTGAACCAATGAAAAAAAGGAAGACCTTTCTCTCTGTCTCTCTCTCTCTCACTAACTCTGCCTGTCAAAAAAAAAATATATATATATATATCTTCTTACAGTAATTGATAGGACAAATAAGCAATTTGTAAAATTTTAAAATTGGCAGAGATACAGAAAGACTTCAACAAAATTACCATAAGCCTAAGTTTAACTTGACATTAATAGATTATAATAACAATAGCAGAAAACATATTATGTACACTGTTTTCAGGTATGCATAGTTGTTAACCAAAGTGGATCAAGTGCTGAGCTGCAAATAATAAAACACAAGAGACCGAAATTATTTGGAATACATGCTCTGATAATAGATTAAATAAGAACTAACCATGCTATATCTAGAAAATAAATACTCAGAAATTGAGCATCATATTTTTACATGACAGAATTCAGTTAAGGAATAACAAAAAGAGTTAGAAATATTTTTTCTGAATGATAATTTTTAATGATTTATTTACTTGAAAGGCAGAGTTATAGAGTGGTAGAGGCAGAGAAAAAGAGAGAGAGAGAGAGAGAGAGTCTTCCATCCACTGGTTCACTCCTCAAATGGCTGCAATGGCCAGAGCTAGGCTGATCTGAAGTCAGGAGCCAGGAGCTTCTTCTGGGTCTCCCATGTGGGTGCAGGTGCACAAGGACTTGAGCCATCTTCTGCTGATTTCCCAGGCCATAGCAGAGAGTTGAATCAGAAGTGGAGCAGATAGGATTTGAACCAGTGCCCATGTGGGATTCTGGCACTGTAGGCTGTGGCTTTATCTGTTATGCTACAGTGCCAGCCCCTCTAAATAATAATTAAAATACAATATATCCAAATTTGTAAGATGTGGCTGGAGCATGTTGTTGCAAGTTTTTAGCTTTAATTGTTCATATTGGAAAGTAAAAAAAGTGTAAGACTCAATGACTTCATTTTTCTCTTAATAATATAAAGACCAGACAAAATTCAACATAAATTTCACCTTTTAGTCAAGGAAGGGAATAAAAGGACAAGAATGTGAATTAATGATAGAAAGGCAAAAATGGAGAAAGTAACAAAGTCAAAGGACAGTCCTGCAATGCCTCATTAAGAAAAAAAGTGGAGAACAACCACATATCTAAAATATTGGGAATTACATAGGATAATAAAAGGGATATTGTGACTATTGTGATGGTACATTTGATACATCTTTCATAAAGAAATAGAAAATCTGAACAATCTGATTATATTAAGGAAATGAGATTCCTAATTCAGGATCTTGCCATGAAGAATACCACACGTAAGAATGGATTCACTGGTAAATTATTACAGTCTCACACAAAACCTTTCAGAAAACAGCAGAAGAGGGAAAATTCACAACTCATTTTGTGAGGCCAGCATAATTCTGAGAGAAGAATCTGATAAGAACATTTTAAGAAAAGAAAATCATAAAGTACTATTACTCAAGAAAAAAGAAAAATATTTCCTAAAATATTAAATGAAATCCAATTATATTTAAATGAATACTATATAATGACCAAAATTGGCTTAAATTTTATATCAATCAATTTATGCAGTCACATTTACAAAATTCTTAGTGAAATAAGCCAGTACCAAAAGGACAAATATCATATGTTCTCCCTGATCTGTGGTAACTGATAGAGTGCCTAAAGGATAATCCATAGATGTGAAATTGACACTTTTGAGATGCAATGACTTTTGAACAGCCTTTGTCTTGACTGTTTAGGGACTTTTTGTTTTTCATACTGTTTGTTGAATTCTATACTTAATATGTTATTTTTTTGTGTACAAGTTAATTGAAAATAGATCTCAGTAAAAAAAATAAGAATGAGAATGAGAGGGAGGAGAAAAAAGGGTGGGAGTGTGGGTAGGGTGGGAAGAATCACTAGGTTTGTAAAGCCTAGTGTTTATGAAATGCATCACTATTTTTCTGGATGTCTTAGCCAGTAACAAAAGACAAACAGAAAATATGGAAGATTGGAAAGGAGAAAGCAGAACTACCTCTGTTTGCAGACAGCATGATTGTGTACACATAAAATCCTAATGAATCTTTGATACAGAAATTGGAATTAATAAATTTATCAAAGTTGCACTATACAAAATCACTGGCATACTCATATGCTAGCAACTAATAACTGAAAAATAAAATTCACAATTGCATGAAAAACAAGAATAACTTTAACAAAAATTTGTGTCATTTATATACTGAAGAGTATAAAAAAAATGCTAGGGAAATTTTAGAAGTCCTTAGTAAATGAAAAGTTATACCATGTTCATAGATCACTAAATTTAATATTACCAAGATATCTATTTTCATCAAATTGATTTCCAAGTTTAACAGAATCTTAATAAAAATCCAAACATGTTTTTAAATACAGACTGATGAATCAATCAACTATAAAATTTACTTGGAATTTTGGAGGACCTAGAAAGCCAAAATAATCTCAAAAATTGAAGAAAAAAGAAGTGTCTCATCATTTGAAGTCATACTATAAGGTTACAACAGTCAACATAGTATGTTATTGGTGTAAGGGCAGACAGCTGGACAAATGGAACACAATATTGTACAGAAACAGACTCACATGTATTCAGTGAATGACATTTTGTGGAACACATGGATAAGAATACAAAACAAAAACTTTGATCACCCTACCTCACACCATAGCCAAAAACCGTCTGGCTGTGTCAAAGATTTAAGTGTAAATCTGTAACTTTGTCGAATAAAACATAGGAGTCTGTCTTCATGAATTTGAAGAAGTATAGCATTGAGTTATCTCAGTTGTCTTAGGTAACCTTTCAATAAACACCAGAGGTTTGATTTTGTTACTTAAATAGTGTGTATGAGCTTTTTAAAAAGTCAGAATTTTCTATTCAGCTAACAGAAATCAGCTAACTGAACTCTCTGCAAAAACAAAAGACAAAAATGAAAAGAAGGAAACATAGAATAGCAGAAAGAACCCTTGAAGAGAGAAGCCTGGAAGAGAGGGATTCATGTATGGTCTCCTTTTAGGCACATGAACAAGTTGCTCAATCTTAATACCTCATGGGATTATTTTGAAAATTAACTGAATGGTAAATATAAAGAGGCTAGCCCATAAGGTAGTTTCTGTAGCTTATAGGTAACTCAAATATTAGTTCCTTTTTCCTCATCTCTTTGTCCAGGCATAAATGTTGCGATCTCTAGGCTAGTGCTAGTGTGTCAGCATGGTATATTGGGAACAAGTAGTAAAAAACACAGGTTCTGAAGTTTAGGCGGTGTTGAACTGGTGTCCTGTATGAGACAAGTTTTATTTAATCTCTCTGTGCTTCAGTTTTCTCATATGTAAAATGTTGATTTAACTCATAAAATTGTTGTAACAAATGAGGCCATCTGTATTAACATAGTGGCAGACTATATAGTCGGTGCTCCAGAGATGTTAGCAGCTACAATTACATGAAGTGACTAGCTTCAGATATTAAGTAGCACCCCACCACAATTGTGAGGCAACCCTGCAAGGGTTGTCCAAGTCATGGAGACACTTCAGGGCCACCCTTGTGTTCCTCATGGCAATTAAAACTTGGGGCACATGCTTTATGGAACCCAGAAAAACAAGGTCATTCTATTTAGCCAGAGTGACAGCTAAATTATGAACATTTCTCTTGTCCTCATCTTTGGGTCAGGATAAATTACACTCTATTCTTCCTTATTATTTTCATGAGGTCAATATGTGACATAGCCTCTTAAAATCTCATGATGTTGAAACACTAAGACAAATAACAGCTGTGGGAAAACCCAGGATCAAACCAGAATTTGGGGGTTCTTAATGCAGTTTTGTGATTGATCTGGGGTGTGGGAAGAACCATTCATAGAATACTCCATGTTTCTGTCTGTGAAATGATGAACTTGGCAATTCTAAGGGTGTAAATATGAACAAGTATTTTCTGAGAGGATAAAAAGGAAAAAGAGACTTAATAGATATGTGAAAGTCAAAGCAAAATTGATTGTACTCCCAGCACTCTGAGGGGTGTAAAGAAGAGGGTTCCTTGCTCAGTGATGAGTGTGTTGCAATTCTTAACCCCTAGACAGAAGGGTGAAGAAGTTGCTAGTGAAGGTGGGATAGGTTGCATTCTGGCACCCTCTTGGTTCTCCTTGTCTGTGCAGGGGAGAGTCTTCAGTTCAGCCAGTAGCAGGCAAAGCCACAATGGCCTGGCTCAGAGAGAGGGCAAGATGGCTTTTACTTTGATGGTCTGTACTTACATAGTCATAGTTTTAATTGACATGGGCTGAACATTCATAGATGAGTGCATGAAAGCACAAATAATTCACTTATACTTGTACCTGGTACCAAGACTGAGAATAGTAGATGTTGAGTAATTGAGCCTGACTTTTAATTTTGCCTGAAGTGCATACTGCTACCCCCAGAGGATATGCTTTCTGTCGTCCCTCTCATTCCACTTCCAAAAAGTTATTTATTGGTGAGGCCCCAGGGAAGAAGCTGGGGAAAGACTTAGGAAGGAGCCAGTGGACTTAGAGAACAAATTAGACGGTGGGATCATCTTAGGAGACTTCTGGTGTAAAGCAACTGAAATCAGCTGTAACTAGAACTGGGGGAGGGAGAGTTTGAATTATAGGGCAGCGGGGTGTATCGTGGTTTCAAGGACAGGGATGGCATCATCTCCAGGCCGAAGTGAACCTGACATGCTATCAGGACTTTATCAATCTCTCGTCTTTGTTTCTCTGTCCAGTTTATCTCTTATATTCTTTACCTGTTCATATAACTAAAAATAATGACCTGTGCTTGTACTTTGCAGATCAGACAGACTAAAGTTGGAGTTGCAGCTGGAGTCCTAGAGAGATTTTAACCGTCATTGTGTCCGATGCCACCTGTGTTCTCATTCATCTCAGTCAGGAATCCAACTCTGTTGCCAGAAGGACAGAGAGTGTACAGTGGGACAAATCTCCAGGAGAGTTGCTAAGTATAGAGCCCAACTGGTGGCTATTCATCAGTGATGCTAATGGTTCAAGATGATTCTACCTTCCTTAGAAATGTCAGAAAGGGTTGAGAAAAGACCCAAATACCCCAACAAGGCCCCCAGGATACTCTTTCTTAAGTAAATATTACTTGTCACCATCACCATCATCACTGCCAATAAGATTAGCACCGTGATCAAGAAACTTACCATTTTGACTCCTAGGCTTGAAACTCTAATTTCTGATTGTTATCTCAGGAACTCCTCCAGCTTCAGGTTGGGCACACTCCTTTCACAAACAGCCAGAAGGAATATGAGAACTCTGGAGCTAATGAATGAGATGCTTCCTTACTAAGAGCCTTTAACCATGCATCCCTTGGAAGTACCTAAGGTAGTGATGCATGCTTTTTAGAAATAATTTGATTTATCCCAGAGTGGGCAGGACACTCCACGCCTTGGTAGGCACCCAAAGGCAGATGACAGGATGACTGTCATGGAGTTCCTGGGGGCTGGCACACAGCTTGGCTCTATTGGCCTGTTACAGGGAGGGATGCGGCATTCATTACCAGCTTAGAGTATCATTGCAGAGATAAGGACAACAATAGGTCTTTATCTAGTGATAAATTATTATCAGTCATATTATTTTCCCTTATTTATATATGGGTCACTTTATTGAATTTAGTAGGAGATAAATAAATAATCTGCCAAGGATCTGGTAATATTACTTCTCAGGGACTCATTTTAGACCCAGCTAGATTCCTACTGATAACGTCTGTAAGCTTTTCAGGAGGGAGAGGCATAACATTTGTTTCTGACAAGAACCCTCTGTTTGCCTTATCTGTTTCATTTGAGAGGCCATTGACCCCCAGCTTCTCTGGCTAAAATGAACTCTTTACAACCAAGTAGGAGTTGTTGAACTTGACTTTTACCACACAGCGTGACAGGGTGCCCCAGCTGCAGATCTGAGGACCTCTGTCATCCACAGCCAGGCCTACTGCTTCCTGTTGGCAAGGGACATGGTGTTGAATTTCTCTTCTGCAAATATATTAATACAAAAATTCAGTTTTTTAATCTGAATATTCTTTCTTGGTCTGAATTGAATTTTTTTTTAATTACAGCATTATGAATTTTTTAACAAATTTGTATTTTTATTTATTTTTATTTTTATTTTTTTTGGCAGGCAGAGTGGACAGTGAGAGAGACAGAGAGAAAGGTCTTCCTTTTGCCGTTAGTTCACCCTCCAATGGCCGCCGCGACCGGTGCACCACGCTGATCTGATGGCAGGAGCCAGGTACTTCTCCTGGTCTCCCATGGGGTGCAGGGCCCAAGCACTTGGGCCATCCTGCACTGCACTTTCCTGGCCACAGCAGAGAGCTGGCCTGGAAGAGGGGCAACCAGGACAGAATCCGGCGCCCCAACCAGGACTAGAACCCGGTGTACCGGCGCCGCAAGGTGGAGGATTAGCCTAGTGAGCCGCGGCGCCGGCGCATCATGAAATTTTTGAAGAATACTAATAGATACTAAAACTGATATATGTCAATGAAGATTACTCCTAAGCCACAATTTAAAAAAAATAGGCTGAAGTTTCCACTAATAATATACAGTAGGACTATAAGCTCAGATATCCAGTTTACTTCTTAGACCCACCATTCAATTACTCTGACATTTTATGCATTATGTTGAAGGCATCTTGCTACATGGGTCTGAGAAGCTTTGACTCTTTCTGTCTTTGCAGACCATTCAGAATTCTAGACACTGTTCTCTGAGCTTTGATCTATATTTCCAGATAGCCAAGTGCTCCGCTTGGGGCCTCATGATGTTGGTGCACATCATTGTGCATTGCTGTGTTTAGGAGGTTTCCCCTTATCCTAGACAGAGTCTGGAGGATCCCCCTGGTATCACAGTCTCTCATACTCTCATGGTTTAGTAGGTGGTTTGGTGTGGAGCAGGATTTTAGTAAATGTTTATGGTCAAGTTTCTTTCCTATAAAGTGTAATGTGACAGTGTTTCCCTTCAGTGCTGGTTTCAGTTTTTTCTTTCTTTGGTGTCATTTGTAAGAGAAATGTCCCTGTTCCCCATTAGACTGTAAGTTCTATGACAGCAGAATTTGTGTATATATGTACATGGCATTTCCCCCACCGTTCCTGGCATTTAGGTGGTGTTCATACAGTTAACATATGCTTACCAACTATGAGTGAGTGAGTGAATGGTTTTATGGGTTTTGGCTCAAGGTCTGTACATGTTGGGGAATGTCACACAATTGTGTAGAATGCCACACATCTGAATCAGGCCTGATTCAAATTAAGTTTCTTTTATTTATTTATTTATTTTTAATTATTTTTTGACAGGCAGAGTTAGAGAGAGACAGAGAGAAAGGTCTTCCTTCTGTTGGTTCACCCCAAAAATGGCCGTTGTAGCTGGCTCACTGTGCTGATCTGAAGCCAGGAGCCAGGTGCTTCCTCCTGGTTTCCCATGCGGGTGCAGGGCCCAAGCACTTAGGCCATCCTCCACTGCCTTCCCGGGCCATAGCAGAGAGCTGGACTGGAAGAGGAGCAACCGGGACAGAATCCAGTGCCCCAACCAGTACTAGAACCCGGTGTGCCAGTGCCACAGGTGGAGGATTAGCCAAGCGAGCCGTGGCACCGGCCTCAAATTAAGTTTCAACACAGCTCTTGGAGGGGAGGAGAAATCTTAACTTCTCTGTGCTTCAATTTCTTCATCTGTAAAATGTGAGAAACATCTCAGGGATGATGCTAAGGACAAAGAACCAGTGAATCCAGTGATTGTGAAAGCCCCCAGTTCACTCTGAGGCACTGTTTTGTTGTTAGTGACTCTCTTTGAGTCATGTGCTAGCCTTGGCCACTTGCTTACACAGGTGCCATTATGTAGTAAAGTGGGCCCACAGGAGGCTCAGCAAAAGGATCTGGACCCAGATGACCCTCAGGTTGTGTTATCCTTGGTATGTAATGAGAAAATTGGCTGGAAAGAGGAAGTTGTATTGCTATGACAAGACGTGCCCCTGGACCCTTCAACTCTGTACATTCTCCTCTTGGAGATATTAAATGGTCTTCCCTTAATCTAACCTTCTCTCCTCTTTGGAACCTTCTTTAATGCATCCCAGATGGTCCATTCTCTTCTGAAATTTTTCCCCCATAATCTTTTCTGCCCTCTCTTTTCCATCCTTTGATTGAACCAGGACTTAATTTATAACTGCTATGGAGCAGACCAAGAAAATCCCTTTACATGGAAGGGAGTGGGGAAGAACTCTGGAGTCTGACAATTACTGGTGTTGCAATGGGCTGTATGTACATCATCCCCCTCAACCAGTGAGTGGAATCTTGTCTAAACCTTTCTCTGTGCTCTGTACACAGCACACCCTCTTTGAAATGCCAGCATCTGACTGTGAGCACACTCACTGACTTGCCCTGAAATTATTGAAGATACTCTAACTAATGAGTTAACTTCTGGCTACAATTCAGTTTAAACTGAAATAATTTTGAGTTACAGTGGTTTTGGCATTTCTGTAATTGAACAGCATCATGTTTAAAGAGGCAAATGTGGGAAAATACCTTCCCTGTCTTGCAGCTGGCCAAGTTTTGTCACACACACACACACACACACACACACACATACACACAGAGAAGATACAGGATACTGTATGTCTAAAATGAATAAAAGTAGACATCATCCCTATTATTCTTTAAGAGTTTAAAAAATACAGATGATAGACATTTAGTCCCAAGAATTATTTACGCTGATAACAGTTCTCAAGTAAGGATGTGATTTTATCACAGTGACAAGAAGGTATTCCTATGGAAAGCACACATTGGCCATGATCCAAAGAATGAGTAGGAAGTCACTGGACAAGGACAGTTTTTCTGGACAGATGAGACATCACATTCAAAGACCCTATGACTGAGGAAGCTCAGTCCCTTAACAAAGTAATACCAGTGACTGAGAGTCTTTTTTTTTTTTTTTTGCTGATGGCAAAAATGAGGCTCAGAGGTGAAAATGCCTTGTCTTAGGTCCCACAGTGAGTTATGAAGAAGATGTACCATCATCTTTTGTTTATTTTTCCCAGTAGTACCCACCAAATAGACAGTTGAGGGCTTACCACCAAGTTGTGAGGAGCTGCCAAGAAGCCTCTGATCACAAAGCCCCAGAGCACTCTCATCAATCATCAGTGGAGAAACCCCAATCTTTCCGAATAGAATTTTATCCTACCTCAACTTTTCCTTTCTTCTTATTTAACTTCCTTCCTATATTAGTGTCAAAAGTAGATTATTTTGGGTGAAATCAGTGGTATTCCATAGCATCATGAAGACATTCCCTGTATTTCCATCTTTTATAATATTTATACTGTTTGGTAGACTAGTGTATCTTCCTTAGAATTTCAGAACTGTGATCATCTTTTTTTTTTTTTTGGACAGGCAGAGTGGACAGTGAGAGAGAGAGAAAGGTCTTCCTTTTGCCATCGATTCACCCTCCAATGGCTGCCGCGGCTGGTGTGCTGCGGCTGGCGCACCGCGCTGATCCGAAGGCAGGAGCCAGGTGCTTCTCCTAGTCTCCCATGGGGTGCAGGGCCCAAGCACTTGGGCCATCCTCCACTGCACTCCCAGGCCATAGCAGAGAGCTGGCCTGGAAGGGGGGCAACTGGGACAGAATCCGGCGCCCCGACTGGGACTAGAACCCGGTGTGCCGGCGCCGCTAGGTGGAGGATTAGCCTATTGAGCCGTGGCACCGGTGTAATCGTCTTTTTAATCTCTACTCACTCATCACCTGCTGTATGAAATTTGCCTAGGGACCCATGGTTAAATCATTCCTTTAACTTTTCTCCAGAAATAATTTGACTGTGGCAGCATTTTAACCACCATATCCTGCATAGTCTGTAGATCTGTTTTCACAGTACTATTGGTCAGCTTGGACTTCCATGATAGAACACTTTGGACCTGTGGCTTAAAAGAAAACATGTGTTTTTTGTAATTGTGTGGGATAGAAGTCCAATATCAAGGTGCCAGAAGATTTCCAGTGTCTGGTGAAAACCCTGTCTGTGGTTTGCAGTTGGCTGCCTTCTTGCTTTGTCTTTACAGCAGAGGAAGACACACACACACACACACTCACTCACTCACACACACACACACACACACACAGAGAGAGAGAGAGAGAGAGAGAGAGAGAGAGAGAAGCCTGTCTCATGTCCCTTCTTAGAAGGAATCTCATTTGTGAAAGAACCTAATTACCGCCCAAAGGCCCAATTCCAAATAATTTCACATTAGGGATTTTGGCTTCAGCACAGGTCAATAGAAAGTTTCTATCACTTCAACAAGAGAATGGATTTCTTGAGGACAGTTTTTTATTCCCACTCTATACTCCTTATCTGAGAGTCTGGGTCACAGTGAATGCTAATGGATCTATGGGAAATGAATTCTAATAGTTTTCTCATAGATATCCTTTTCCCTTTCTATTGCAAGTTCCTTTTAGAGAACTACTTCGTAAAATTTCAAAGTACACAACAATTAAAAGGGTAGTTTGATGAACCTTGTGTCCATCCAGTTTCAAAGATCTTGGCTATTCTTTTGAGAGTAAAACTCCTCCTCTGCGGAGAACATCTATGCAGTGGGGGCCAGAAGGACACCATTCTGTAGTCGTTGATTAATTCCCATCAAGTTTGGACACAGTTTTCTTCCCAAAAATAACATCAATAGAACTCCTAGCAAGTGAATGTCCTCCTAAGGCAATTCTGAAGACAAAAAAGCAATATAAGAACACACTTCCCAATAATGTGAAGATCTATGGCTGTACTAAATAAAAATGTTCTCTTAATGTACTGTAAAAAAAAAATAAAAATGTTTGGCTAGATTTATCAACCTGCTCCAGGAGCAGGATTAAGTTTCCAAGCTACATTTTTTCTACTTATTTAAAAATACCTGAGCTGTAATATAGCAAGTCAGGCAACTGCTTCATTATATAAATATAACATATGTCTACCTTGAAGATACAGGGTTTAAGAAAAGACTTCTGTTTTCTCAGGCCTGTTGGATAATTTGTAAATGCTGATTCCTAAGGACATAGACATGAGTACAATTAGCTATACATTAAAACCGGCTATACATTAGAAAGATTTTAATAGATTAGTAATATTTTCAAAATATTTGATGTACTAGAGGTGCTGACCATGTTCCTATAAAGTGAAATGGAAGGTAACTCTTTAAATTTGAACTTGTGCAGCTTGAAAATAGAGTGACAAAGCAAGCTGTGGAAAGAAATCTTGATTCCCAATGGAATGCGCCACCCCGAGAGAGTGAGGGGGACCCAGTGTATCTGCGTAATGACATATCATCGTATGCTCACTTTAGAATTGCACGAAGTTTGTGGTTTAGGGCTCCAACAAATGTGATGTGAGGAAGGATTTCCCTCGTGATTTTTCTTCTCACATAAACTATTTGCAATATTGCCTGTATATCCTAAGCCAAGCAATTCATAGGTCATGAAATGATTGAAAACAACCCAGCGCAGCGTGCTGAGTTAGTGACCCAGTGGCAACTGGCCTCGTTAAGGGAGAAACTGAATGAGCAAAGGGGAAGGTTGGAGAAGGCTGGTGAAAAGGAACAATAGTATGAGGGCAAAAATCAGAGTGGATGGAAATCCTGACTTCTTAGACCTAACTACAAGTTCTGTTTATGATAGAACTGGGAGACTTAGAATAGAACAAACTCAGTACACTCTGGCCTCTTCCTCCAAAGTCTTCCACAGACCTGAACTGGTAGATTTTCTTTTTAAAGATTTATTCATTTATTTGAAAGGCAGAGTTACAGGGAGGCAGAGATACAAAGAGAAGTCTTCCATCTGCTGGTTCACTCCCCCAAATGGCTGCAATGGCTGGAGCTGAGCCAATCTGAAGCCAGGAGCCAGGAGCTTCTTCCTGGTTTCACATGTGGGTGCAGAGGCCCAATGACTTGGACCATCTTCCACTGTATTCCCAGGCAATTAACAGAGAGCTGGATTGGAAGTGGAGTGGCCAGGACTCGAACCAGTGCCTATATGGGATGCCAGCACTGTAGGCCGCGACTTTACCCGCTATGTCATAGCGCCGGCCCCTATGGTAGAGTATTAATTTGCTGACTCTTTAATCCCCTTGCCCCTCTCTCAGTGTTTACCTGAGAGAGCTTAACTGTTGTCATTCATAGAGAAAATTGGTCCACACTCAACAACTCTACCTGAACTAGTAATAATACTTGTGAACATAGCATTGTGTAGATTCCTCATGAGCATTTATCAACAATTAATTGATTTACTCAAGTGAGTAATGGATGATCAGTCATTCCTGGCCCTCTCTCAATCCCACATGATCAGGAATGACCTATCAGTGGACTGTACAGCCTTTTGTCTTCCAGCCATAGACATCACCACTGCTCCCAGTTAAAACCAACATGATATATGGAAACATACAAGGTTAAATGCCTTAATTCTTCCCTCTTATGGCCACACGATGCTGTGAAGTTTCTTCCTTAAAATTTAGTGCTTCAGACCCTGAAATAGCATGGGTTGTTGCAGAGTTGAAGATGGGGGCCAGGCCGGTGCCGCAGCTCAATAGGCTAATCCTCCCCCTGCAGTGCTGGCACACCGGGTTCTAGTCCCAGTCGGGGCGCTGGATTCTGTCCCGGTTGTTCCTCTTCCAGTCCAGCTCTCTGCTGTGGCCCGGGAGTGCAGTGGAGGTTGGCCCAAGTGTTTGGGCCCTGTACCCGCAAGGGAGAGCAGGAGAAGCACCTGGCTCCTGGCTTCAGATCAGCGCGGTGTGCTGGCCACAGTGCGCCGGCTGCAGTGCGCCGGTCGCAGCAGCTATTGGGGGGTGAACCAACGGAAAAGGAAGACTTTTCCATCTGTCTCTCCCTCTCACTGTCCACTCTGCCTGTCAAAAAAAAAAAAAAAAAAGATGGGGGCAGGCTTAACAAAGTCAAATTGTGATAGCCACCCTAGTACTGATTAGGCAGTACCCTGTACCAAAGTTTGTATTGACTGGCACTTTAGAGAAGGAGATCATTCATTATATAATTAAATCTGTATTACTCTTTAAAGAAGGAGAATTTTTTCTTTTTTTTTTTTCTTTATGGAACTGAGGCATAGAAAGGCATGTAACATTTTTAAGGTCATATAGTAAATGACAGAGCCGGAACAAGCAAACGACAGAGCATTTGGTTAACAGACAATCATGTTACTTGTGATTACTGAGACAATCGCTATTACTCATAGTTGCTAATCTTTTTGCAGGCGGTGAAGTATCTATGGTCTTCATACTTCTAGAGGTCTGCAAAGGTTTTAGTGAGGTTCCTAAAACATTTTTAATATTTCAGACACACAAGCAATTCACACATTTACCTACAGAAAGGTAGCACAGTCTAACAAAGCATGTTCATTTTCTTTGTTTGGATTTGAGTTTATTAACCCTGACCAGTAATCCTGGTTATCCATGCTGATCAGAATACTAATCAGAAAAGGGAAGTCTTGGCTTAATAAGTACAGTCTGATCTTCAAACAAGCAAGCACGTAAACTGAAGTTTAGATATGGGGCCACTGTGCGAAGAATAATAATAACAGTAATATGAGGTCTTATAATGAAAAGAACATTGCTTTGAAAGTACTGGATAGATATATGTGCAACAGCAAAGGAACAGTTCCAGAGACACATGGAAACACCTGTATCTAAATGGATGGTTAGCCCTGTGCACCGCCTTAGTGTGTGTCTCCCCACCTAGATCAATACCTCATCGGAGTGGGTAAGCTCAAAGTACTGCATAAACAATGGCTTTTCAGCAGGGGCTGAATAAAGAGTAGAAACTGAGTTAGAAGAAGGGAGTAAATATGTGTTTCCATTCAGAGGCTCGTATTTGGGTTATAGCAACCACATTGCTTGTTCATCATACTCAGAAAACAAGTGTATGTTGGGTCCGGCAGTGGACGAGGCACCAGGGTTTGGAAATGAAAAAGTCAAGGTCCAGCATTCAAGGAGGTCAAATCTGGTAAAGAAGGCAGCTACCACAGTAAAGCAGTTTACTATGGAGAGATTAAGGCTGTGATATACGTAAATACTCAGCAAGGCAGTAACATAAAAGAGAAAGTAGGACTTTTCTTATCTATCCAAGCTACACGCAGCCTTTGAACTCTGCTTTGAAGGATCACTGACTGGGAGCTTGCCACATGGGAAAGGAACAAAAAAGATAAACCTTTTGAGACATTGCAATGGATATGGGAACTCAGTGATTTCAGGTCTATTTTCAAATCAGTTAATAACAGAGGAGAGAGAAGGTATGCCTTGTGGTTTAATAAACTGAGCTTCTGGCCAGCACCATGGCTCACTAGGCTAATCCTCTGCTTGTAGCACCAGTACACTGGGTTCTAGTCCCGGTTGGGGCACCAAATTCTGTCCCGGTTGCACCTCTTCCAGTCCAGCTCTGCTGTGACCCGGAGTGCAGTGGAGGATAGCCCAAGTGCTTGGGCCCTGCACCCGCATGGGAGACCAGGAGATACACCTGGTTCCTGGCTTGTGCCGTTATGCCCATAATTCATATCAAAGTGGCTGGCATAAGAAGTTTTTGAACTGCATTGATAATTTAAGCCTCATAGGAGAGTGATACAGCAGAACTGATTATATTTGTTGGAAATGGAGTGGGTAGACAATAGTGCTAATTGTTAATGTGGCAGTTGGTTATGCCCTAACTAAACAAGAATGTATGTTGGCAGTAGAAGTTGGTTGGTTGCAAAGAATAGGGCGCAAAAGTGTTTTGGGATATTGTTCTTTTAAAAGAAATTCTCAAGAACAAGTAAAACAGATCCAGATTTAGCTGGCATGGGTGTGTGCAAAGAGCTTGGGCAGAATAATGGGGAACAGTTTCTTTTTTGACTTGGCAGTCATTCTACATAAGCTGATTATGACTTAATGATACTTTATTGCCTATGTCTCATATAGATTAGGCTCTTCAACCTGATCTTCTCAGACTGGCTTCTCACAAGGCATCACATCCAACAACATTCAGACCACAGACATGCTTGATGCCCCCTGTATTGCAGCATGCATTCTTCTTAGAGTCCTGTGAAGCCATGACAGATGATAAACGTATTAGCAAATTCTGTATAGATACTGTCATAAGATCCTAATTTTTCTAAATATGGACAGACATTTGAGGAATTAAGAAGCACTGAAATGATTAGTATCTTGGGGGCAGCATCCCTTCCCCAGGGCCAGCTGGAGCACCCCTTTGAAGTGGAGCCAGGGAATGTCTGTAGATTTTTCTTCACTGAAATGACTGATGTTTACTTGAAGTTGCAAAGGTGAATTGCACCGTCACAGAGGTCCAAGCACATGTCTTCTCAAGAAGAGAGTTTCAGCCACCAATAAAACACTACCTTGATGTCTGAGGAATCAAAGTTTCCATTGTCAAATCTGGTCCTTCTTAGTATTTCCTGGAGCCCACTCTTTTACCAAATTCTGAACTAATACTTGGCTATCAACATGTTTAATAGTTAAATTTTCTTAACCATCTCAAGATGCGCTCAACTTTGGGATCTTTGTTCATGGTTAACTTTCCTTACTTTATACCAACCCAAATCCTAGTGATCCATTAAATGTCACCTCCTTCTGCAATCCTTCCATCATGCAACTTTTGAATTCTTTTGACACTTAAAGAACCCTAGAAGCTGACATTGAATGAGAATCCTCCTCTCGCTGTCCTGTGTGCACAACTCATGCCCTCCACTAGACTATAGTCCCCTGATAGCCAAAGGCACAGCTTCCCCATTTTATATATCCTTTGTTGTGCCTCTCAGAGCACAGCATGGACTGAGCTCCCATCAGGGATAAATGATGACCCAGCCCTATGCACAATGACATAAAAGCATAAAGAGGTTTCTTTTATTTCAAAGACAGAGTTACAAAGAGAGATGTAGAGAGAGAGAGAGAGAGAGAGAATTGATCTTCCAACTGCTGGTTCACTCCCCAAATGGTCACAATGGCTAGAGCTGAGCTGACCTGAATCCAGGAGCTTATTCCTAGTCTCCCACATGGGTGCAGGGGCCCAAGCACTTGGACCATTCTCTACTGCTTTCCCAGGCACATTAACAGGGAGCTGGATTAGAAGTGGAACAGCTGAGACTTGAACCGGTGCCCATGTGGGATGCCAGTGTTGCAGGCTGGGGCTTTAACCCACTGTGCCACAGTGCTGGCCCCAGCATAAAGATTTAAAGAGAACAAATTATACATCAAATACTTATTGTATTGCTAGGTCATAGGTAAGGTTTTTTACTTGCATTATTAATTGTCTTATTAGTTGCTGCAGCACCTCTGAAAAGTTGTACTCAGGTTTTAGAGGTAGGAAAATAGAGTCGGAAAGTGTTAATAAGTGAGTTGACCACTATCCAAGACAGGTCCCCTCAACATCAAGGCTCTGCCTCTGTTGTCAGTTCTATGCTGTATTCTGACCAAGAGTTATTTGGGCTCCTGATTATGGCCAGCATACTTCGGAGAAAGTGAATTCAAAAGATAAAGTATTACAGAAGTCTGTGCTCAGTGCCTGCCACTTATTCTTACTACCATAACACAAGAGAGGTATTGATATGAGGCTCAGGAAGCGAAGCTAGTGTGATAAATTAACTGGCTTATTATGGAAGGTTAGTCAGTAATTATGATGGTGCCCATTTGAGGCAATATACTTTGTCTTACAGTTGCTTTACCTGTGGCCATATTTTCCAATTAAATACTCTCCATGAGATGCAAGAACCAGAGGAGAGGAGTTGTAGCCTCAGAAGGACTTGGATATTGTGTGCTCAAACATCAAGTCCTAGGGTTTTAATTGGCTTTTTGTTGCCAGGACATTCCGAAGAAATTTTCTTCTTTTAAGGCCTGGGAAGTTGTGCAGCCATTGCTTTTTTTTCAAAGATTAATTTAAATATTCAAAGTTACTCAAATGTGAATTGAGAGAGGTTGGCATTTGCCTGTGGTTTCAAACATATCTCTGTCTCATGCTTTCCTGCGTTTGGCCATGCTGTGTTTGTGCTGAGAATTCCCCGCCTCAACTCCTCTTGTGAGTGAAGAGTCATTCTTCCATTACTCGCTGCTCAAGCACTTCTTTTGTGAACACTATCCTGAATCCTTTCATGCCCCTGCCAGGCACAAAGATTTATTTTGGTGCTAAAAATTTTGAAATCCATGCATATGGGGAGTATTCAAGAAGTTCATGGAAAATGAATGTCATGAAAAAAGTATGCATGGATTTTAGAATATAATTGCACCTACTTTCATTTTAACTACATTTTCTATGAACTTTGGAAACCCACCTTGGATTTCCCACATTGATATTTACTAAAGCATGGATCTCCACTTCAGGCATCTAGTCAACCAAGGAGGCAAAGCAGTATGGTGGTTAACACCGTTGACTCCTAATCCAGATTCAGCTTCCTTGTTGGTAGAAAGGGTCCGGGGGCCGACCCTGTGGTACAGTGGGTTAAAACCCTGACTTGAAGTGCCAGCATCCCATATGGGTGCCGGTTCTAGTCCCAGCTGCTCCTCTTCCGATCCAGCTCTCTGCTGTGGCCTGGGAAAGCAGTAGAAGATGGCCCAGGTCCTTGGGCCCCTACACCCACGTGGGAGACCAGGAAGCAACTCCTGGCTTTGGATTGGTGCAGCTCTGGCCATTGCGGCCATCTGGAGAGTGAACCAGCAGATGGAAGACCTCTCTATCTGTCTCTGCCTCTCTCTCTAACTCTGTCTTCCAGATAAATAAAATAAATCTTAAAAAAAAAAATAGAAAGGGTCCGATATTCATCCCTTGGATTGATGAAATGGTTGATATGGTAAGATGCTTAGTATTTGTATTCAACTAGTGTTAGTTGTTAGTACTGTTGTCCATTCAACCAACTCCCAGCCCCTTTGTTCACCTACCTTGTACATAGATGAGCATGCTCTGAGGCTTGGAGCTTGCAGTACACCACCAAGGTGAATGGCCTCTGACCACTGTGCATATCTCCAGTCCTGACCTGGGCATGTGCTTGGCATTCCTTTTCCAGCTTCTCTGTAGCATTCTCACCCTTACTTGAAAATTTTCCAGAGTTAAAAGAGTCCTTTGACCCACATAACCCCAAAGATTGCAGGTGCTGCATTCCTATAGCACTTACTGCGATCATAATTATCGTAGTGCATCCTTTCTCACTAGCTTTTGGAAGTCTCATTGTATCTCCCAGATTGGATCTTTCAGAATCATGGTGAGAAGCTTGCAGATGTGGATTATCCTTTATATTCTCAGAGCTTGGAGAAGAATGGTTTCACAAAACCAGAGAGACTTGGTCATCAAAGATTCCAGGTTATTCTTCAGTGATATTTTTCATGGGTACCTTTCAATCTGCTAGGCACCTGAGTACATCTGTGAGCATATAGCAAGACTCCTCGATTATGTTGAGTTTCATTGTATCATAAATATAGTCAAATAAATAAGTCAGCATATAAATGAAGGTGACAGCTTGAGAGTGCTAAATTTTGGAGAGACAACACAACAGGAGGATGTGTTAGAGAATGACTGGGGACATCAGCCGACGTGAAGCTTCTCTTTCTACTAGTCAGCAGTCACAGTGTCTCCTAAGGAGTGCTCTGTTGAATGGCCACTAGCCCAGATGTTCAACTGAGGAAAACTAAGGATAATCTATTGGTAAAAGTAGTTGTTCCGGCGCCGCGGCTCACTAGGCTAATCCACCGCCTTGTGGCGCCGGCACACCGGGTTCTAGTCCCTGTCGGGGCGCCGGATTCTGTCCCGGTTGCCCCTCTTCCAGGCCAGCTCTCTGCTGTGGCCAGGGAAGTGCAGTGGAGGATGGCCCAAGTCCTTGGGCCCTGCACCCCATGGGAGACCAGGAGAAGCACCTGGCTCCTGCCATCGGATCAGCGCGGTGCGCTGGCCGTAGCGCGCCGGCCACGGCGGCCATTGGAGGGTGAACCAACGGCAAAAAGGAAGACCTTTCTCTCTGTCTCTCTCTCTCACTGTCCACTCTGCCTGTCAAAAAAAAAAAAAAAAGACTTTGAGAAAAAGTAGTTGTATTAGACATCCTATGTGTTTGTGCCCGGATGCAGCTACACAATTTACAATTACTGTGGTAAAGACATTTTCATTTCATTTAAGCTAACAGTGGATCAAAATTTTTTTGATCCCAGGACTTATTTTTTCTGTCTTTCAATATTTAGTACCCATTAACATTCCATGAAACCCATGTGAATAGAATAAATGTTGGACTATCAAATGATATTTCAGCTTAGCAAAAATCTTATTTACATATCCAATGGGTAAGCTAGTTCACGTGTTGTTACCAAACCACAACATTTAGGTAAAATAGAAAGAACTCAATTAAGTGAGAAAAGGATGAGCTCATTTTCTCAATTCACTTCCACATGTTTCTTTTTTTTTTTATCTTTATATACAGAAGATCGATTTAGTACATATTAAGTAACGATTTCATCAGTTTGCACCCACACAGAACATAAAGTGTAAAATACTGTTTAAGTACTAGTTATAGCATTAATTCACATTGAACAACACATTAAGGACAGAGATCCCACATGAGGAATAAGTACACAGTGACTCCTGTTGTTGACTTAACAATTTGACACTCTTGGATATGGCGTCAGTAATCTCCCTAGGCTCTTGTCATGAGTTGCCAAGGCTATGGAAGCCTTTTGTGTTCACCGACTCTGATCTTATTTAGACAAGGTCATAGTCGAAGTTGAAGTTTGCTCCTCCCTTCAGAAAAAAGTACCTCCTTCTTTGATGGCCCCGTTCTTTCTACTGGGATCTCACTCGCAGAGATTTTTTTTTTTTTGACAGGCAGAGTGGACAGTGAGAGAGAGAGACAGAGAGAAAAGTCTTCCTTCCTTTGGTTCACCCCCCAATGGCTGCTGCAGCCGGCGTGCTGTGGCCGGCACACCACGCTGATCTGAAGCCAGGAGCCAGGTGCTTCTGCTGGTCTCCCATGCGGGTGCAGGGCCCAAGCACTTGGGCCATCCTCCGCTGCCTTCCTGGGCCACAGCAGAGAGCTGGACTGGAAGAGGAACAACCAGGACAGAATTCAGCACCCCAACTGGGACTAGAACCCGGGGTGCCGACATTGCAGGCAGAGGATTAACCTATTGAGCCGCGGCGCCGGCCAGAGATCTTTCATTTAGGTCCTTTTCTTTTTTCTTTTCTTTTCTTTTCTCTTTTCTTTTCTTTTCTTTTCTTTTCTTTTCTTTTCTTTTCTTTTCTTTTCTTTTCTTTTCTTTTCTTTTCTTTTCTTTTCTTTCTTTCTTTTTTTTTTTTTTTCAGAGTGTCTTGGCTTTCCCTGCCTAAAATACTCTCATGGGCTCTTCAGCCAGATCCGAATGACTTAAGGGCTGATTCTGAGGCCAGAGTGCTGTTTAGGACATCTGCCATTCTATGAGTCTGCTGTGTATCCTGCTTCCCATGTTGGATTGTTCTCTCCCTTTTTAATTCTATCAGTTAGTATTAGCAGACACTAGTCTTGTTTGTGTGATTCCTTTGACTCTTAGACCTATCAGTGTGATCAATTGTGAACTGAAATTGATCACTTGGACTAGTGAGATGGCATTGGTACATGCAACCTTGATGGGATTATATTGGAATCCCCAGCACATTTCTAACCTCCACACATTTAATTCAATGATTACTATATTCTGGGTGCTGGAAAGAGATAAGAGAGATCCATCATGGAGCTAGCAACATTCCCTGCTGGTTGATCTCAGTAGGTTCCTCACTGTCTTGGTCTATAACTCCTTCCCCAAAGAGCTCACCAGAGCAAAGCTTTGCTAAGCTCAAGCAGGTTATAGAGCTGCTCTGTTTGGTTTCCTTCATGGCTCTTCATCTCAAGCAGAGTGAAAGCCAAAAATACTTACAGTGGTCTGTAATTGCATTGAATTAAACTGTAGTCACTTGCCACATGTGGCTTTTCCAGTGCAAATTATTTAAAATTAAATGATTAAAAATACAGTTGCATTAGCCACCTTTTATATGCTTCCTAGGCATGTGTGGCTCATGGCTAATTTAAGGCAACACTGACAAAGAACCACTGCATCCTGGTTTGAAGTTCTACTAACCATATGCTGCCCTATGTGAACATACTGCTGCTCTTGGCTTCTGCTCTTGTTGCCCTTTATTCGTCTGCCCTAACCTCAGTGTCCTCTTTGTGGTTCCAGATCTACCCCTCTGTGTGCCATTTCCTGTCTCTGAGATTCTCTTATCTTGTGGGCACCTGACTTAATTCTTGATGTCCTGCAGTGTCACCTCCCCGGGGACGCACTCCTGGCTACCCAAGTTAAAATCCCAGTGTTTACTTCTGATCCTGACATGCCCTATTCCCCACCGTACTCCTTTTCCCCTGGAGTGATTATCCACATGTGACATTCATACTCTTCATGCTTATTTACTTTTTTAATATTTATTAAGTATAGAGCTTTTTTAAAAAAAGATTTTACTTATTTATTTGAGAGGAAGAGTTACAGAGAGAGGGAGAGACAGAGAGAGAGGTCTTCCATCACTGGTTCACTCCCCCAAATGGCCGCAGTGGCCAGAGCTGGGCCCATCCAAAGCCAGGACCCAGGAGCTTCTGAGTCTCCCATGTAGGGGGAAGGGGCCTAAGCACTTGGGCCATCTTCTGCTGCTTTCCCACACTATAGTGGAGAGCTTGATCAGCAGAATAGCTGGGACATGAACAGGTACCCATATAGGATGCCTGCACTGCAAGTAGAAGCTTAGTCTACAATACCACAGTGCCAGCACCCAGGGTTTTTTTTCTCAGTGCTGTATTTTAGTACCAAAAATGGTGTCTGGGATATAGCAGGCATTCAAAGACATAAAAAAAGCACAGAACAACATCAATAGTTTTCATAAAATATGTGGTAGGGATAAGTTCCATGGAGCAAAATGAAAGCCAAGTGTTTCATATCCATTTTTAATAGGGAAACAAAATTATGTAAGTTCTTCATGATCAAATTCACTGTTGATCTTCCAGGATTTGATCCTACATCCGCTACTCTGCTACATAATATTTAACAACTGGCGCCCCAAAGAAAATAGTCAAGCGTTGGTTTATAGTGTTTGCCTATTTCCATGGCATAATTACCCTCACATGGCTGATTGCGAGCTGCTAACAGAGTGCCATTGGCTGCAGAGTTGGGAAGAGATGCACACAGTCTGCTCTCATTGAGCTGGGACCATTCAGCTCAGGTGTACCACTGCACCTGACCTTGAAGTCCAAGCTGCCCTCCTGTGTGACATGGCCACTCCAGGGAAGAAGTTAGCAGGGCCTCAGATGACCACCACAGTCTGGAGCCCTTACCTCGGAAGCATACCTCCATCCAGCCAAACCAATTGGGTTTGCTTTCAACGAGTTTGCATTGTGGCATTTTCCTCCTAAGAGGATCATGTTGATTGGACTAGACAGAAGAAGCC